TGCAATGCGTTTTCTCAAGTATTATGAAGTCGGGATTTTAGAATTGTTAAAACAAAATTATATTTTCGAAATGACAATTAAATTTTTATTTTTTTTAAACTAAAGGAAATCGCTGAACTCCTAATAGATTTGCACTTTTTAAATTTTATTTTGAGAAGCAAGCTAGACAACAAATTATGTTTTAAAATGTCATTTTAATGCAGATCTAGATAAAATAAACAAATAGAAATATGGCATATTCAATTGCGATGTGCTTTCTCGATTATTATGATATCGGGAATTTTAGGATTGTTAAGTTAAAATGGTTTTATTTTCAAAATGGAGAGATAAATTTTTATTATAAGCTTTAGGAAGTCGAAGAATTTTGTACACTATTAGTAAGTTTGCATCGGTTAAACCGTTCTTATTTAATCTTAATATGGTTGTATTTTGAATTATAAGATAATACCTTATAAATTTGATTTCTTGATGCCATGGATCAACTTGTAAACTGTAAAAATTTCTTTAGCGAGTCACGTTAAAAAAAGTACCGGCACTCGGGGTGCTGGTACTTTTTAACGTAAAATCCATTTTCACTGGAGCATATTACAATCGAAAAAAAGTTCGGATATACCATAATTTGTACAGTAATAATTATCTCAAATTCACTGAATCATTCTAATTAAATAAATAGTACTGTACAAATTACGGAATAGTATTTTACGGTAAAAATAGATTTTACGGTTGATACACACAAAATACTGCTGCATTATACCGTACTTTGATTCGGAATTTTTTACTTGGTTTAAATTGACACCCTAAAAAAATGTTATCATATCATAGTTTAAAGCAGGGCACGAAATTTCCTCGACTGGCTAATAAGTTTTATCTTAAATGTTGTATTTCAAATCAGACTACCATAATTTTTTAGAGAAATTCAGAGTAATTTTTTCAAACTTTATGGGGGAGATTAATTAAATGTGCAAAGATGCGCATAATAGGAAGATTGCAAATGACAAAAGATGTGCTAACATCGCTGCATGTTTTTGACAAATTGGGTGGACCTTGGGTCGATTTAAGTAAATACATAATCAATAATAATAAATATATGTCTTATTTAATTAACAAGTTTGAAAGAGAAGTGTGTATTTCAGGAATCATATTTTATCTTTCAGGTTGTGCAAGAATTTTCTGCCCACTATTTGGATGAAAATAATAAAGAAGAATAGTATATTTCGAGAAGCCAGTTTCAAGGAAGAAGGGTAATAAAAATGGATGGTGGTAGTGCTGATTCAGAATTCGTTCTGATATTATGAAAACAATTGATGGTAGCATTGCTGATTTAGAATTCTTTAAAATTGTACTTTTTGTAAGGGGGTCAGGCCAAAGTAATCTTGATATGCCATCTACAATCTCATCTCAATCGAGCATACCACCGTGGCAACAAAAGTAATCTCTGGCTACCAAATGTTATTATATCATGGAAAATACTCAGACGAGCAAGAACAACATGAAACATAATCGAAGAATGCCTAGATTAAGGGCTCATCTTGGTGGACAAGGAGATTATGCCCGAGAGAGAAAAAAAAATTTAATTAGTATTCATCTCTGGATATTCTTATTTTACTTCATAAATACGATATTTACAACTGGGAAGTAAAGAAAGTTTAAAATAAGACTCAGTAAAAATGTGATAAAATATAGTAAAAATAGGACTTTTTCTAAAACATGTTATGCATGAGTAAATATAATCCTTTCCCTTATTTTATTTGTTTTTATAACTCCAAAATAAAAAATGCAGTATTATGCTTCGTAAAAATAATTTAAGTGCTATGCGAAACTTACGAAAGCGAAAAATGTTTCTTCTTTTAACCCTTTGTTTACGGCGCTTAATATGATGAAACCCGCCATTCTGGTTCACCTGTTCTAGCAGTATGCAATAAGTTAAAATGATAAATAAAATCATTATTATTTCCATGCGTTTTATCTAGGACCAAAGGAGATTGTTTTGTATTCCTAATACTACACAGAGTAAAAAAAAAAACCTTAATTCTGGTGAGGAGAAAAAAAAACGGTAATATAACCATTCATTTGGTGATTCTTCCGTTCTTATGGCAACGGGTTACAGAACACTCTGGTTTTTAAAATTATAGTTCGTATTACCACACATTTAGTGAAAAATACAAAACTGAAAAGTTAATTGTGACCGAATAAATGGTTTTTCATGCTATGCTCAAAGGTGTCATAGTAAAATTTCCACATTTACCATACTTTATCACGTATTATAAAAACCATATTTTATTGTTAATTTTAAGAAAATCATTACCAAAGCTCTTCGGTAAGAAGAATCGAACTTTTTGGTGTTCATATAAAACCAAAAACAGGGTACATTTAACCATATTCTGGTAGTTTTGACTATACTTTTTTCTCAGTGTGTCTATTGATAAATAAAGAATATAGAAACATTTGAGTTTGAAACATCACTCGCGAACTTTATTTTAGTTGAGCTAAAACTGGCTTTCAGTTAACACCGAGGAAAAAAAAGCATGGTAAAAACTACCAAAACATGGCGACATTTACTATGTTACTAGCTCTTTGGGATCACCAAGTTTTACCGAAGCACATTGTTGATGATTTTGGTAAAATTAAGAATAAAGTATTGTTTTATAATATTCGATTAAATTTGGTAATTTATCACATATTATATAAAGTATAAGGATTTAAAATTTGTTAACTTTATCAGAATACTTTAGAGCATAACATAAAAACCATTTGTTCGGTTAATTTTACTTTCCTGTTTTGTCTTTTTTACTAAATATGTAATAATAAGAACTGCGATATTAAAAACCAGAATTTTCGGTAAACGTTAGGATATGGATGGAAAAATTACAAATGAATGGTTAAATACCGTTTATTTTGATTTTATAAACTAGAATTATGTTGTTTTTTTGCAACAAATGTCATTACCATGCAGTACAGTAATCTTACCAGAATTTTATTTCTCCGTGTATAAATAAGTGTGTAGAATAGTATCTGAGTCAAAATTTTGATTTCGTTTTGAGTTCTTTTCTTGAAATTTAGTTCATTAAAATATCAGTGTGTTCAAAGCACAGTAATTGAGGTCTATCACTTTAACTAGTTTTTAAAACCTAGCTTTTTTTCAAAAAAATTTAATGAACTAGATATTACTCGTTAAAAAATATTAATCATAATAATTAAGAACTGAATAATTTATAAGCATTTAGTCCCAAAATACCACATTAAATTGTTATTTAATCCACTTAGTTTAAATAAAAATCAAGAAATAAAAAACTTATTCAGATTTAGTTCAAGTTTAACTATTATTTAAACCCTTTAGTTAGTGTCAGTAAATTCGTTAAAATCTAGAACTAAACGTTAGTTTAAATATTCATTAAGAAATTAAGAATATTTATAAGAGCTAAAACCTAAATATATTTTATTCATATTTAGTTTAAATATCTAGTTAAATTGCTACTTATGGTATTTTGTTAGTTCTTCATCAAATAATCTTTTTCCTTTTTTCTCTATTATTTTTACTCTTAACTTCTTATCTATCATTTAAATCGTCTTTTTTTAAGAACCAAAACAGGGTAATTTAAAATGGATCAAAGCATTAATTTATTCACCCCTTTCTTACCTCTGGGTTGGTCAAATTCTGGTTTTCATTTACAAGGCATTATCGTAATGATGGTGCCTAATAATATATCTAGTCTAATCTTGACAACTTTCTAAGATGCAATTATCAAATTTAATTGAAATTTTATTCCCGATAAGAAATACAATTAGGTATTTTTTTCATTTTAATTTATCTTAATCTCATCAAACGCCACCATGATGTAATGTTTTAATTTGGCTATAATACAATAAATGATGCAAACATTTATTTTTCATAAGTTAGGTGTAGTAACAATATTAATTATCCTGCTGTTGTGTTTCTTTAAACGATTCAACATGTAAATTTCCATCTGTGCAAGGCAACACTATAGTTTTAAAACAATTAATTTATCATTTAAATTCGACAGGTCTCATTTTCTATCATTATTATAATTAAGTAAAAATTAAAGTCGGTGTGGATCATGTTTTAGACTATTGTCAGTTCCCTTAAAGCTAATATTTTTTTAATGAATTCATTCGTCACAAATATTAGTCTGTTCTTTTCTTACGTAAATTTTTATGTAAAGATACGATTTTTATGCAAAGACTCTTGCTAATTAAATTAACGAATAAATCTGACTGAATCTATTCTGAACTTAATATCAATGGTTAAATAAAAAAAATGTAAAAAAATGGAGTGTTTAAAACTAGAAATAGTAAAATATTTTATTAAAAAAAAACGACCTAGGAGTATTTAGTGTTACATGGTACTCATTTAACAGTAGGCTAAAATGACGAAATAGGGATGGTACAAACGCCAACAACGATTTTGTCATCAGTTTGTATCAATTCTGCTTCGTTAATCATTGCCATTTTATCCTGCTGACAAAGAAGTAAAAGAGGTAATGAGTCACATAAAAGTAAAGAAAACTTTCTTGTGACTCTAAATACTGTTTTTACCGACTCATTAGAGGCAAGGATAGCCTGTTGCTGGACTCACATGTTTGAGAATTAGAGCTCAAATCCTGCCGTCCGAAGGCTCTCCGTGAAGTAAATGGTGACTGGAGCACGTTAAATCTGTCGGGTCACAAAGTCCTCCATGCTCCCATAACAAATCAATACCTCTGGGGATATTGAATTGATGATTGATCGTTCTCTGGTTCAGGTCAAAATTACGATCTGTGGATGAATGAATGGATGTATCAATGATTCCGCTCTATAAACGGGAGTGACGTATGGGTGTGGCAAAAGTAGAATCCTCGGCCTTAGATGGCGAAACAAGAACAATCGCATCCCTTCTCTCTCAATGGCCGACGACAACAACAACAGCAACATACTCATTACTACTAACTTTTATCGACAATTTCTGTATGATATACCATTTAAAAAACATAGACACAAACGTATTTAAAACAATATAAACTTTCATTTTATTTATAATTATAATACAAAATAGTTTCAATGAACACATAGGCACTTCATACTTTTATTTCAAAATTTTAAATTTCTTTTGTAAATAATCCAGCTTTGCTTCAATATTTTTTTTTTTTTACAAAGTCTTCAAATCGGATTTTGCAATATAGTTTTTTTTTTCTAAGTGACAATTATTATACCAATATTTTTTTCTAAATAAAAAAGAAGTAAAAGTGAAATGTTTAACTGAAAAAACAAATTAACTGGATCAAACATTTAACAATTAAAAAGGCTACGTATTTCAAGGCAATTTTTTTGATTTCTGTGCAAATATAGGTAATAATTTTGATAGAAAGAGCAATATAACATCTAGCATATTAACATACGATTCAATACTTGATCATACGTTAGATACATACATTTTTTAATAAACTACGTTATGTAAAATATTATTATAGCTTTAACAACAACAATGCTGAATTTTAAAAAACACTAGCAACTGTTTTACATAAGGCACACTTTTATAAAGATCAAAAAAATTTAATTCTTGCGACTGAAATACCTTTAAATATAATAAATAAACTATTTACTTCCTGAGTTATATGGTATTTGTGTTTTCGGGAAAGTCCGAAATAGGAGAATGTCAATATTCATTTAATCTCTTTGGTGAATGTTCGGAAATATTTCTTAAATTTCATTGTTTGAGTTGTATAGTATTTGTGTTAATGTTAAAGCCCGAAATTTATGAATGCCGACATTCTTCAGTGAATGCAAATGTTCACATTTTCACTCCCGTGAATGTTTAAAAATGTTTAGTAAAGTTTATTATTTTTCTCTGTTCTAGCAAATTTCGACATTCACCATTCACTGATAGCGGATTCCAATTTTGGAGGGAAAAAAATTGAAATCTTTTTTTTAAATATCATTATCACAGTGGCATTTACATCTGCAGGTGTAAACATTCAATATTCCTTAATGGTGAATTGCCGATAAAATGTTTTGTTAAATTTAATTATTTTCCATTTACACCGGCGGAGGTCAACATTCAGCATCTTCAGAGAATTCACGGTGAATGTTGAATAAAAAAATTTTTTAATATCATTATTTTTCATTAACATCACCAAACACCAAATGTTAACATTCAGCACAATGACGGTGAATGTTAAATTTAAAAAAATTTAACATTATTATTTACCTTTTATAAGCAAACGCTAGTGTATAAATATTAGACACATTTTTTTGTTCAACATTCACTGTTAAATCTCGATATTCTCTGATGAATAGCTAAATAATTTATTCTTCATATAATAGTGATTAATGATAGAATTTTTATTAATCCATTCATCATAGTGACTATGTGAATGACGACATTTACGAGAGAAAAATGGCATTTATCGAATTTCAGACTTTCATAATATAGCTATTATTGTAATAATATTCATAATAAAAATATATTTCATGTTTATAAATGCCTACACTTACGCTATGAAGCATAAAAATAAAAATTGAGCATTGAAATATGTCGTAACACATCACTTACAGTAGGCAAACAGTACTTCTTAAAACAGTAGACTAGACATAAATTCAAAAATGGAATGTGTTGTATAATAGGCACACGTTTAACAGTTAACTTCACGGTTTTGACACTATTTTACTCAATTAACATAATACAATATGATACTTAAAACAAGATGTGCTTATTTTACGTATAAAAATACTCATTGGTAAGATGCCTGGAACTAAATCAATCTTTTTTTTTACACTAACATAATAATTATTCATAATATATCTAAAAATTTGTTTTCATAAATCTATACAATTTTTTTTCTACATTCTTAAATACTACTTTCATTAACATCGCTCACATACTTTTGCAACTATTCACAATTCATTGCTAAAACTACATCAACAAGAAAAAAAAATTGAGGTATCACATGCAATTATGCATTTCCTGAAACAGCAAGTCTTAAAAACTCAATATATTACAGTCTATTGCTACATTTCCAATGTATGAAGAAAAAAAAAACATCTATGAATACATTCTACAAAATTATGTCAAATGGCATCATAAAAAATATCTCTTGAAAATCGTCATCAAGGCACGTATTATATGCAAATTTTTTTCGGGTAAAAAATATTTTGTGTAAAAATTTATCGTAAAAAAATTCATTTTAAAAAGTGATAATTCAAGATTATTTGTATAATTTAGCTTTTGCAGATATATCAGAGATTTGCAAACACGTTTATAATGTGCTTTTTTTTCAGATTAAAATGCTAATGCGTTGTGCGCTTGTATTATTTTTATCTGCGTTTACAGCACTACGACATATACTTTCGTTAAAATAATAATACATTACTTGAAAATCGTCTCAAAAAACGGAACAATGATTGAGGTATGGCAGTATTATGAAATTTTTGCTGCATTTATGAACTTGGGAAAAAAAGTATGTTCAAAACTATATGGTAAAATTTGGAATATGATAAAATTTGGAATATGGTAAAATTTACCATGTCTTTGGCTCCATGGGAGCACCAAAATACACGGTAACATTTACCGAAGTGCTTTGGTAATGTTTTTGGTAAAATTAACTATAAAATGTTGTTTTATAATGTTTGATTAAATTTCGCAAATGTGGTAAAATTCGGGTAGTTTTTTCACGATACCTTAGAGTATGGCATGAAAATCATTTATTCTGCAAAATTTACTTTTCAGTTTTGTATTTTTTTATTAAATGTGTGATAATAAGAGCTATAATGTTGACAACCAGAATTTCCGGTAAACTGTTACCATATAAATGGAAAAATTACCAAATGAATGGCAATATACTTTGGTTTTATGAACTCGAATTTTTTCTATTTACCAGAAATATCACTACCATGCAGTACTGTAATTTTACCAGAATTTTTCTCCGTGTATTATCTGCGAATTCTACATTTCAGCATAATGATATGTACATAATTTATTCACCTTTGGTGCTATAAAAAAAAAGTTTACGAAGATTTATTAAAAAATTATTTTTGATCGTGGGCTGTTATCACAGGATTTAGGTCTTATGGCAATAAGAAGAGCTAAAGTTCTTTTTTTTTAGTAGGAAAAGTTTAGTATTGAGACTGCTTTCACTTTATTACAATATCAAAAAAGTTGCATTTATTAAACTTGAGCAAATTAGGAAATACATCCCTTAGAAATAAAATAACAGCGATAAATATTTTATTTTGCTTGAGGTTATTTTTTTAAAATTTCATTACATTTCGAATGAGTTAATTATTTAATAATAAAACTGAGATTATTATTCATAATGAGATAAACAGTGAAAAAACACATAAAATTATATTTTGAAAAAGATTTATAAAAATCTTAACCAACTTTTACAGTTGAAGTATAAATAATGATCAGTTATATTTTTTGATTAATAAATTATTTTGCTAATTTTTTTAAGAGATTTAATAAAAAAATTTCGAAATCTTAACTATGTAGCCAATTTTTAACGTGTTCTTACATGATCTTTCGGATTATGATATTGATAAACAAATGTTGTAATTAAGTCTTATAATCAGGCTTCAAAAATTTTAACAAGTTTTATATATATTATCATAAAAAAATATTCATTAATTTAAATGCATTAAAAAACATTTCAAATACCTCTACTATCTCATCTGACACGCATACATGTAGCACATATTTTTTTTAATCTCTATTTTTAAGCTCATCTTATAAAATAAAATAAAAAAAAGTTTTTAAAAAAACGAACACATATTTAGCTGTGTGTGCGTTGTAAAAAGAGTTTGGTAAAAAGACTCCATTTCCAGAAAGTGAAATAAAAAGTGTTCCACTTAAGTTTTTTCTTCGTCTCTTTCATTTCTTTTTTCTTCTTTTTTTATTCCTACTTTTTACAATTGAAGAGGGGGAGAGGAACGTATGAAGAATACGTTTCTTTTTCAGCCAAGTTCAGGAAATCCTTCGGTTTGGAATGGAAGCCGCACGAACTTCCGTCCTCCGACCGGAAGTCGACATCAGACGATTTTCAAACATGGCCGCCGGCGGAGGTTGTTGGAAACTGAGATTTAAGAAAGGAGAAAAATAAAAGTTTTTTTTTTTCAAAGTGGTGGTTTTTCGGCGATTTTTCTGGAAGAACGGTTGAGTGACCATAGATGCAAAGTCCGAAGTTCCGCAAAGAGGTATCCCCAACTACGCAGAAAAGAGCTTTTCCTTTTAATTTAGCTATGTCTCAGAGAGTTGTTTTCGTTCCGGTTTCAAGGACCCTCAAATGGAATTTTTCTCACACACTTTCGAATGTCTTTTTTGAACACAAAAAAAATAGCACAACTTTGAGTCCTTTTCACTCTTTCGAAGCTTCAAATCGAGTCGGAGTTCCTGAAAAAAATCAAAAAAAATTTCAATTTAATATTATAATCCATTTTAACTACACTATTCATAAATTAAATACATAATTGTAAGAGTCATAAAAAAAATCAGGCTAACTTGAGCAATAATAAAGAACAATAAAAGATAGTTTTAAAAAACAGACGACATTTTTGGAACATTTTCAGAGTTGACTGATTCAGGCTTAGTTCACGTGAAGAAGTTTAAAATACCCGTTACGGGAACTATAAAGACATAGTTTTTATTGAATCTTGAGGACAATCCGTTGCGGTGTAAGAAGGTAAAGAAGTTTTGAGTTATAATATCACCGACGAAAGAATTTCCGATAATATAATTAGGTCTGATGTCATAGCGTGGAAATCAACTGAATGGATTATAATTCTTAGTTAGAATTTGTGAAAAGCTACCTTGATATTTAAATAAATGTAAATTTTATAATAACTGGATCTTCAATTTTAACACTCGGTACAATATACACGGTAGTCTGTAATGACCGTTCTTGATGAATATTTTTAGATCCCTATTCATATATCAAGTAAGAAAAAATGTAAACAAATTAGGATTCGTAGATTATTAAAGAGAGAATGATACAAAAATCAATCGGATCACATGGTAACTCTTCAAATAAGTAAACACAAAGTTCTCAACGAAAACGAACTCTTCTCTTAGAAAAAAAATTAAAATTAAACATTATGGATTGTGCCAACAACAGCTCGAATCATTTTTTGATTAGGTATGCTGTCAGATCTGTCTTGATAAACAAATAACACCGAATAACTGTAATTATTAATTCTGTTACGTTACGGCATATTATGCTCTTTTAATCAAAAAACTAGATAATTCATTAACAATCCTGTGCAATGAGAAAACTTATCCTTCATCCAATTCATCTAAATAGTATCTTTCACAACTGATTCATAATCGAGATCATTTCATTCCATGGGTCCTTAGTGTCTCAAGTATGATCTTATAATCAGAGAGTGGAATATCTTATAATTCATTGAATTCGTGTGAAAATCTACTCTTAATCAGTACGCTGCGATCTCATAATCAGAGCATGAGATAATTCATTAATTTTACGACATATCTGCATAGCTGAATCCGTCTTTCATCTCAGTAACTAAGTAAATCTCTGATCGGCTCTCCAGCGCTAATAATAAAAAAAAAGAAGAAAGTAAGTAATAATAGAAAAGGGCCAAAGTGAAGATTGAAGGCAGGGACCCAAATTGAATAGGTGGTTATGGCTCCGAAGGTAAAGGTGCTTTCTACCTGCCCTGAACAATGGCTATCGACCACACTTGTCTGCCATTGTCCACCAAAGTTCTGGATTCCTGTTCAATGCCGGGGCTCCCTTTCTTCCGAAGGCCCCCTTTTCTTTTAGGACCCCACCACTCCAGCCCTTCTCCTATTATACTTGGGGCCGCACCTACATTTTATACTTTTTTATTTTATTTTATTCCCCCCACCCCCTTCTCCTGTTGAAAAGAAAGTTCATCCAGGCTTTTGGCTCTTAAAGAAGTCCCCTCTAGGATACTTTTTTTTCTCTCTATATTCCCTTCTTATTCTCTATCCATTCCATTTTTAAAAATTCGGAATCCTCTGGGTTACTAGAAGAGAATCTTTAAAAAAAAAAAGAAGATGAAGGAGGCGATGGTTGCTTTGGGTGTGTGCTCACGCATGCGCAATGCGTTTCGAGAAACCTGTTCACTTCCGGTCCAGTCAAAAATATCCAAAAACATAACTTCCGCCAAAAAATTTTCTTAAGTGTTTTTTTTTTTTTTTTTTCCTTGAGGGAAAAAAATATCTTTAGATGTTTTCTTTATAAATCGAATGATATAAATAATAGAATGCTAAGAAAGATCGTCCGTTGCAACTTGCCATTTCGTTTTCTTCCAAGGCGTGGTATGGATGGATACTTTTTTTCCCCTTTAGTCCATCTTTAAGTAACACGAGCCTAGAAGTTTTTCGTGCCTTAATTTTTTCAGTTTTTTATCTCCCCCCTTCCTCCAGGTTTTCTTCCTTTTCGAGCAAAACTTGATCCTGTCATCGATGACAAAGGCATCATCAGGAAGAAAAGGTGAAGAGGGAGACCCCTCCATACCAATTTGGCGAAAAAGGGTAAAACTTTTCGGGCACACAATGGGGCAGCTTCTAAATTCAGGAAGATCCAGAGAAGTGGTGACGAAAGAGTTTAATGAAAATTTAAAACTTTCAGAAGGTGAGTTAGAAGCTTAAGAAGAAGAAGAAAAAAAAATTTAAAAATGGGGTTGAAAGAAAAAAAAAAACCCTCGGTATAAGAAAAGGTGGCTGATGATGATGGACCGCGTTACGCTCTTTGGGGAAACTCTAGGATTAAAGCGTTTCAGAGGAAAAACAGGAACACAATGGAACTCTTTTCTACCAACGTTTAAATAATAACCCAAAAAGGGTTTTCTACTTCAACAAAAATCACGCGGAAGTCTTACGGGGAAAAAGATAGCTCATAAAATAATCGGGATCATCTTCAATAGAAAAGATGGAGATTATAAGTTGGATCAGTTATTCCCTTTAATATCCATGTACGGATTCTTTATGTGTGAGACCGTAGTTTGGTGTCTTGTCTCATATCATGCATTCATAATCTTTCCTTCAAGATTCCTCTTCCTCCCTCCAGTCCTCCATATTTTCCTAATTGTTCTATTTCTGCGGGGATAGGTCAAATGAGTTTATCTCTATCGTAGGGTGAATTCCCATCAGAAAGGGGTCTTCCCAGAGATTATCTTGCAATGAACTCACTTTATAAGGTCATTAGAAGCAGTTTTAGGTACAAATTAACAAGGGCCGTAACGATTTATTCATATACAAAAAAAATTATATTCTTAGTCTTAGTGTATTAGATTATAAAAATTGCATTTGAAGTTTTTTTAAACCTCCAATAGCAGGCGAATAATATGAAAACAAGAACTACGAGTAAGAATAAACGTGAAATTCAATGTTGTCCGAGCATTGCGGAGGTTAACGTGAATAAAAATGAGGTTTACGAACAGGTTAGTCTTAAAATGTTATAGTTGACGCAGTTAGGTACTCAGAAGTTAAAACATTTTTTTAAGGTTCCTTAGGGAAAAGGTATAGCGGTGATCTATATCACTCCCCCCCCCTTTGCGGACTGTTTACTCCGAATGTCAATGGATAAAAAATAAAAATTTGATTTCTTTTATATATATATATATAGACAGTCGAACTTGTTTGTAACAAGTGGGAAGGGACAGCAATATTCGCTCGACACAGCCAAATGCTTGTAAGGAACTGGTTCGTGAAAAAAATCATGAAAGTTCATACTAACTTTTTTATTTCTGTCTTTAGAGTGTATTTATTCTGTATCAATTGTTAATTTGCTTTGAAATGTCTTTATCTTCGGATATGACTCATGGAACCTGACAAACATTTTCCCGAGAGATATCAAAAATTAGAAAAGTGTAATTGGGTAGAAATTTTATGAATCCCAAAAATGTTGCTCGCTAAAACTGAAGTTTACTCGTTAAAATCAAACTCCAATCGACTGAACGTTGTACTAATGAAATATTTCCGATTTCTTCGTTAAATCCGGGTTTTCGTTTTACCTAAACTAGTCATAAACGAGTTCGACTGCACATTTTATGGGTAATGATTGATATCATCGAAATTTATATACGTTTACGGAATAGCTGTCAGAGATTTGTAAAAGCTTACGTACAAGTTTTGAATTTTTCTTTTGTTAATTAATTAATTTATTTTAGCTTTTAATTTAAGCTATGATGATTCAAAACAGTTTTTTAAACTTCTATTTATTTATTTATTTTCAACTTAACACGCATTTTTTTTACACTAATATATTTAATTAAGAGTCTTCAAGAATTTATTTTTTTTAAAACTTTTTGTTTAAATGCTTTAAGAAAAAATGTTTCTTTTTAACTTCATTAAAGACATAAATTATGCCACAAAGTAAGACAGGTACAGATGCTTCGTTTCATCACAGTAACTCATAGCGAATTTACAGTATGTACAGTTTATATATATATAGTTTTACTGCTTATATCAAACTACTCCCTTCATAAATATTTGTAATTTTTTATGAAGTTTCAAGAGTTTTTAAAGATTAAAACTTTCTAAAATTGTCATGGACTTTTATTCCAAGAATAACCACAGTTATTTCATTTAAACTGCCAGATATTCCATCCCTTTTAATTTTCTGAAAGTAGATTAAACCGATTGCGAGAGTGCCCATGGAGTTTCGAAAAAAAAAAATAAAAATAGATGGTAGTTTGTGGAATCTCCTTTTAAATTTTGGTTCAAAATTTCTTGAAGAAAAAAAAAAGGATTCAGTTGGTTAGGTAATTTTCTTTGAAATTTCTGAAAATAAATGGAGCCAATTCTGGAATTTTGCTTTTGAAATTTCAAAAACTGGAATAAACTGATTTTGAAATATATGTTCCAAGTATACCTCTAATAAATTCCATCTATATGAAATAATTTATAAAATATTGAGGTTAATTTCGTACTTCACACAGTAAGTAGTTTCATAGATTTTCCATGACTGTAGATTGTCCATAACATTAATTACGTATCTATGGGACTATAACACTGTAAAAAATTCTGGATCAATTACGCTATAAAGTGTCGGTACTTTGGGGGCATCGTCCGTAAAATCCATTTTACCGTAAAATTTATTTTTATTGTAAGATAACATACCGTAAATTTTACAAGAAAATTTATTTATTCCGAATGATTCAGTGATTATAAGGTAATCATCCCTGTAAAAATTACGGAGACTCAGGATTTTTGTTCCGTAACATGTTGCGGTAAAAATGGATTTTTCGATAAAAAGTACCGACACCCTCTGTACCGGTATCAAATTTCCGGTAATCTGATCCTGAATTTCTTGCAGTGTAAAATTATTTCTTGACAAGAAATACGCAATAAGAAATTAATTTATAAAATATTCAGTTCCCTTTGATTGTAAAAACAGAATTGTA